AATTCTCTCAAGGAAATTTTTTGAACTCCACATTCAAACGCCGAAATTAGGATTTCTATTAAATTACAGCTACTACTTTTTACTTATAGAATCATGCGAGCCTCCAAATATATTTAATTACATACTATTATTGAAATATTTGGCATATCGCTGCAATTGCGAAAGGGAAACTGTTTCCATTAATAAAAATATATATAATTTTTAGAAAATTTGATTGTTGCATGCTTATACTTCATAAATGTAAATGGTTTCACTTTGCACCATCTGAGCCCGGCTTATATTCAATATGCAGCAATAATATCCAAAATATCATAAGCTATTATGATGGAGTTATTTGTTTAAAAATTCCCGTGACGCGTATATATGCAATGAAGTACGATTTCCAAGCCTACATAGACATTAAAATCATACGTTTAAAAGTGAGAAAGTCATACTCTTTTCATTCGAAAAGGAAACAGATACGTATCATACGTAAAAAACATTAATATTACTCGTTTATTAAAGGATACTTCAAAATGCAAAAGAATATGTGGAATTATTTCTTTGTGTGCATTTAATGCACACTGATGCAGAAGAGTTGAACGTGCTTTCAGCTGCACTGATATTATAAATTAATGACAAATTTAATTACATCAGATCATGACGCAGCCAGAAATTGGAGTGAAGAGAAAATATTTCTTTGGGGACTCAAGTATTTGCAAGGTTCTCGTGCGCTATGAGGTATTTTATATGTAGATGATACTTTAAATTATTAATTGTGCTTAATGTTAGTGCTTTAGATATTGCACTTTCTGTCAAGAAATATTGCTTGGTGAGGTTTATAAATATCTAGACATTGGTGGCTGGGAAGCAATGAAAATTTCCCCACATGTAATGTGGAAATTGGAATGAATGTACTCATATATTTTTTAAAGTTCATGAGTAGCCGTTCACATCACTTGTGAAACCAGTGGATTTGCTCACGAATTTTATTATTTTTGAAGCTCAGTGCAATATTAGAAAAGTAGGTTCTATTGAAATCAATCAATAGTTAAGACAACTAAGAGCAGTCAATGTTGTAGGATGCGAGAGGCGCTGCAGGTCAGGCGCAGTTATGCGTTGCTGTTGAAGAGCACAGCCTCTTGTGATCTGAAATGCCGACAGCTTTTGAGGCGGCCGTCGTCGTTCGTCGGCGGCGGTCGCGGGTGGTTTTTGTTTCGTTTGTTGGTTGGTATATTCCATTCATTCTTCTTGTTCTGAATATTGAATTCAAAGTATAATATTCATTAATTAACCAACAAATATACTAACCACCTCATTTTTTGAAAGGTCCTCCACCTCAGTTTGATATTATCGAGCTCGCCTGTTGAAAATAGAAAACAAATTTTTTCTAGTTTAGTGAAATCATTAGCTGGGAAATATTATATTTTGTTATGCAGCGTTATTTGGACATATTCTATCATTTTTTCTGGTTCTATGTTGCATCTGTGCTATATGACGTTATTTTCATTAATTTTGGCGAGCGGAAAACGCTCATTTTCATTGTTCATTGTTGACTGCGGCGTAAAAGCTAAAAAGGCGCGTATAATGGCTGAGAATATATTGACTAGACCGCCGGGTGGCCGAGTGGGAAAAGGTAAGAAGAACATTGAGTTGGAGGTTCGAACCTGGATGTAAAAATACCGGTCGAAATCGGCGAGGCAGCCGGGTGGTGGTTTCAGAATCGGAATCTCTAGAAACAATCATCCCCGTTCATTACCGTACCTCGTGCCTCAACAGTTGTTCATATCACGGACTATTTCATCCCATAATCACTCATAATCATGAACCACGCTTAACATAATGATTCACCGTTCACTATTGTAGTACGGAGAAATTATTCAGAAAATTCCTTTCAACCGACCGGTGAGTGCCACATGGTTCATTTCAGAGGGGAACTTGTGCCAGGTTTAGTACGCCGCTTACGACCAGGTGCCAACAGCGCTGCATAACTGCGTCAGGCAGGATCATTATTACCGATCATAGACCGCACGTTTTGCCATACGATTTGCCTCAGTTCTTATAACGATAGATTTATACTAACTTAACTAACTAGGTTCAATTGTAATATCTACTGCAATTAATATGCATGAGATTTTGAGTCATCCAATGGCAATCAACTTGACTATTGGTAATGACATCTTGAGACTAATATGCGAAAGAGACAAAATTATCGTTCGGATGAATTATGAATAATTTTTAGTTATTCCTCGAATGGTTTTTTACGTTCGAATGTTCAGTATAACGGGATAACTATGTTATTTATCATTGACGCTGTGGCACACATCATTTAAAACTCATTCTAAAATGAGAATGAGTTTTAAATTATTTGCTCTATGTCATATATGAAATATATCTATCCGAGAAATGTGATAATTTGAAAGATATATAATAACAAATAAATAATAAGCATTTTAGGACTATACGGAAGGGAAGAGAGCAATGTTGCCTTTACGCTTTACCTCCATAAATTACAATAAATAATATAGTTTGAATAATATAGTCATCCTACTTATCCAATAAATCGAAAAAGATTTGAAGGTAAATTCAATTATACGAGATATTTACGTAATATGATCACATCTGCCCCTCAGTTATCTAACAATAAATCAGGTTTGATCTCATGCCTCGAGTAATTTTAGAGGTATGTGATATATCGAAATTAGATCATTATAATTAGCGCATTTTCTAAGGAACGATCGGAAAGAACGCCGTTCGGTTAATAAGAACACGCATGCAGCGAACGGAACGACAACATGAAGGTAGAAGCCTAGAAGGCTGGCGGGTCTGCCTGGCAGGCTGGCTCAAGTAAATTCAAGTTCACCAAAAACCTCCCTTCTCAAGGAATAAATTAATTTAGAAGTCATTGATAAATAGAAAATGTTAGCCACTTATTGTTTATTGATGAAGTTTAGAATCAATCACTAATTTAACTAGGATATAATTCTACACTGTATTTTGTCTGGCGTCGTTGGCTGGTAGCAAGTATGACGTGCTGTTGCCAGTGGTGTTTTATGTGATCCGTTCTGCTGGTGAAAAATCTCTATTTCTCCTCAATGACGAGCCTGCAAATTTTTTTACTGAATTTATTTGTGCTGTAATTTCACAGTTCATTGCAAATTTGGCAATGATATTGTTCTTCGTGAATGCTCCCTACAATGTGAAATTGTAGAGCAACATAATAACAAAGTTGTAATGTTTAGTTTCAATAGCAAACTAGAGCGCCCTTCCTCCAGAAGAACGTGAGCGGGTGGGCACAAGATCGGTCGTGTTATGCGTTGCTGTTGCTCAGTGCGGCAGCAAAGCCTTGTTCTTTCGTAATGATGTCTGTCACAGTAACGATGTGGCAGTAGCAACCATGATACTACTGCCACTGCTCTCCTATCCGGTGATCCGTTTACTGCACAAGCATAATGATACCGACTGCGGTGTTCCGTTTTATCGCGCATTTCAGGTGAGAGAAATACTATGCTTATGCACGTGTTCAACCATGCCTTGAACCATACATACTCTGTTCAAGATCTCTGGTTCAAAACTGCTGGTTCATATCGGCACACGATCACTGTTCATGCAGGTTTATTGAAGCAACTCACGATAACTGGTCGATATCGCCACACGATCGATCGCTGTTCATGCAGGTTTATTGACGCAACTCCCGGTAACCGGTCGATATCGACACACGATCGCTTTTCATGCAGGTAGGTTTATAGACGCTACTCACAATTGTTTAGCGTTAATGTTAATAATTAGATGGGGGGGGGGCTAATTGTGCTGCCGCATCCTGATCAGAGGGGGGGGGGCACGAGTAGCTCTGAGTTTGTTGGTAGAACGACGACGCGACCAGGTGACGGATCTAGTCTGCCGCTTGTGCTACAGTGACAACAGCGCCACATAACAGCCGGCACCAGGCATGCGGCGCGTTAGGTTGCACATCCTGCCAAAGTCGTGCTTTATTTCTGACAAGGATTGATTCACACTAACAAAATTTTCTTGGTTCAACAAAGTACAATCGACACTCTGTGTTAATTACATGAATGATAAGTAATTAACTCGTTGCTATGAAGTTTTCCCGACTTAGAAACCAATGTAAAAACTCACCTCCCTCTCGGAACATGTTTCGATTGACTCACAGAGACGATTTAGCAGCGCTGAAGAAATAAAAAATCCTATAGTTTACGAGCTGACCGACCAGCAAAAATAATTGTGCGATGGATGAAGCGACCAATTTCGAGACAAAATACTTAAATTTAGGCGCTAAATCTGCGCATACTTCTTTGTGTTTGACTTCTTAACACAATCAACGTAAAAGTAAGAACGCACTGTCAATACTTTGGCATCTTCAACTTTAAATTAAGTTTGCTGGTGGTGTGTGGAGCACACAACATCTGTAATTTAGTCTCGTGTGTGTAACTCAGTCTTATAACGTTTAATTGCAACAATTCTGACTATTAGTGCATGAGATTTCACTGGAGATCAGTGAGGAACTGAGACCCAGGAATAAAGGCATTTCAATGTAAAGGAATATGAATATTCAAGTACAAAACAGAAATTTAGTGCAGCCTAAAGACATGCAATCAAACATATCAATGCCACAACGATGGTTCCTGTTGTTGAAAAAGAAGTTTATGGGTATGAAAAGTTGAAGTTTTCTCCTACAGCTTCTTCACTTACTTCCATTCTTAACTTGAGTAGATAACGTCCAATCATCCTAGTTAAAACGGTGCAATCAAATACAGCTATCGTTCTGAACCATGTTTTTTTTAATTTTGGATCAAATTTAATTGCATCAACATCGAAAACTTTATTTGCCTATAAATGGGCGCGCTATCCTTCGAAGATATAGATAGTTTTCATCACAAATTCCTGTAACATATTTAAAAACGATTGAAAAACATAAAGCGATCAAAATATACGCATACATCCAAATAAATAATTACTTTATCATCCCCACCATCATCCACCATGCCCCACCATCATCCACCATGCCCTATCACCATCATCCACCATGCCCCACCACCATCATCCACCATGCCCTACCACCATCATCCACCATGGCCTACCACCATCATCCACCATGCCCTACCACCATCATCCACCATGCCCCACCATCATCCACCATGCCCTACCACCATCATCCACCATGCCCTACCACCATCATCCACCATGCCCCACCATCATCCACCAAGCCCTACCATCATCATCCACCATGCCCCACCACCATCATCCACCATGCCCCACCATCATCATCAACCATGCTACCTACTTTCATTGTGGTTTTTAAACAATTAATTCCATGACGACGACAAGCAGAAAAAAAACATTGATGGTCCCAAACCAAGACAGGCTTTGTTGTCGGAGCGGAGCAACAGCGTCTCATAATCTGCGGCATGCCCACTCATGTGGCAGCCGCTCCTGAAATTCAGGAAAACTTCATTTTAGAACGTACGTTTAAACTGAATTTCTACATTGTTTTTAATTGTTTTATAATACTTCTTGTTGAATTTAATTTCATAAACATCACTCCGGATTTACGACAAATGTCGAATGATCCAAAAACGTTGTTATTTTATCCCTAACGTTATGGAAAGTAAGAGGTGGCAGCCTGGCAGGGAATTTGAGCGCGCCGATCCGTCAGTCGGTCACATAGAACACGAGTGGGAACAGCGCTGCATAGCTAGGACCAGCAAACATCGACTGACAGAAATGAATGTAGAATTAGATTCCCGGCTTGGACAGCGATTTATTTACAATAATACCTAAACATATAATTTATTGGAGCGATTTCTTTGCTGTATTCTTTACCCATGACTTTATTATTCGTTGAGGCCGACGATTTCTGATGCACTTGGTGCCGTTCCAAACTCCCATTGAGGACTAGAGGGTGTGTGTTCTCGTATTTACCGATAACTTTTTATCAATATTAAATATCCAGATTTTAATCAAGAAAAAGCAATATAATCCTATTTTATAACCTACTGTTATAACCGTACGCATGATGTCATCACTTGGTTATCATAGTGATATCTACATATTTTAGCCTTTAGTTAGCATGGATCATTCCTAAATTATACGTCAGTCCATCCTAATAAATACTTTTTCTAATAAATTTTATATACAAGAGGGATAACTATCATGTTTATTCGTGGATGTGGGGTGCTAAGATAATATTTATTCACTATTAACGATTATATTCTATGAACAAATACATTATATTATATCTATATGTTACGTACAGGAAACTAATCCGTTCTCTCATTCGAGATACTCGCTTTAGGTCCGTGGCAGCTATGAAGCGCTGTTGTGGCCTATTCTCCCCGTGGCCTGAATGCCTGGCACTGGCAGTTATTTTTTCTTACCCCTCCCCTTCCGTACCCTCTAACCTCTTCAATTCACAATAAACTGGTTAGTTAGGCAGGTAGTCTAGTCATTCGAACTTTTGGTCTGTTCTGAAACGTGAATTAATGGTAATTTTATAGATTAGTCTAGTGTATAATATATTGAGCTCTCATTATTAAAGTTATAATGATTTGCTAAATTGAATTCGTTATGAAAACATCAATTTCATTTCATTAATTATACTACGTTATTTGCCTTTTCTAACCATTTTCCGTAATTAGAAGCTGCAATGGCTAATTTCTGTAATATTTTAACATTTTTCATGCGTTTAATTGTAAAAAGTATGTATTTTTATTCTATATGTTTCCTGGGTGAACGACATTGGTTACACGATATTGCAGTGAACGCTAGCCAAAGCGTGTGTGAATCCCTCTCCCGTAATATTCAACAGGTTCACCTAAAATTCATTAGTTCTTCATCATAATATAAACATTCCTCATTTGGATAATGAGTTATTATGTTCATTATTCGCAGGTTCTTCGCTACACGCTTCTTCGCAGGTTCTTCGCTTTCTCTAAACCCTGTCATGGACTTGTAAGCTCGAAAAATACAATTTCACAGCAGATTTCTCTAAATATTGTTCGAAGAAACGTTATTGGACGAAATATTTTAGTAAAAAATTACTTACGTCATTGTCAAACTTTTCTTAGTATTCTAAGTAATAAATATATATGACGGGGCGTGGGCGCAAAAACTTGTTGTCTTCAGCATATACGAAGTAATGCATAAAATGACCGGCAGTGGGTGCAGGTCGCTAACGGTTATGAAGCGCCATTTTGACCTGTAGCTCTTTGCGGCCTGATTGCGAGGTTGACTCGAGAGGCCTTCTTTTTTTGGTTGTGTTTGTTTGTAATATAGTATATAATTTTGGTTTGCTTTGTGTCAGACCACAGACACAGTCCACCACGGTTGTGTCAGACCACAGACACAGTCCACCACGGTTGTGTCAGACCACAGACACAGTCCACCACGGTTGTGTCAGACGACAGGCACAGTCTACCACGGTTATGTCAGACCACAGACACAGTCCACCACGGTTGTGTCAGACGACAGGCACAGTCCACCACGGTTGTGTCAGACCACAGACAGAGTCCACTACGGTTCTATCAGACCACAGACTCAGTCCACCACGGACGGCCACGATGTTGCCGCTTTCAAAAGAACATTTTGGGAATCGAACCTGGGCCTCCCCAGTGACCGACCATAAGATTCAGTAACAAGACTCATAAATGCATATATTTCCTACTAGGCCTCCCATTTGCATGCAAACAAATTACGTCTCTCGATGTAAGGCGGTTACTTGTACACACTGGAACAGCAGTGGCAGCCTGATTATAGTAGGAATTACATTCATGGGGTGAAACTCTTAGCTGTTTAGGGTAGAATCAAAGTGACGCCCCGTTGAGGGATGCGGGGTATATAGCACGCTGGTCGTGCGCGGTGCGTCACTGCGTCAGGCAGCAGTCTCGAGCCAGAGGGACAATTGAGTGGTCGTGCAGTCACAAGTCGTGGTCGGAGAAGTGTTAATGTGAAACGACAGTGGTCTTGATGCTAGTACGGCCACAGACGTGTGCGTGAATTTTGGTCGTTTACGACAGTTGTACTACCCAACGGATATCCACAGGATTCCAAAGACCCGCCACCCAAAAATAGATGCGCTTGAGCGAATATTACGGAAGCTACAACAGTGACCGAATTGAATTAAACGACGATCTTCTAGACGATAGACGACTCAAGTTGATCAGCAAATGGTAAGGAAACTACTCGACAGTCCACGTTCCAGCATCGTTCGGACTCCCGGGATTTGACTCCACCAGTCCCGGGATTTGACTCCACCGAAGGTCAGGATTCTGCACCAGCGTAGCCGCATCAAGAACACCATCGAGGAGACGCCAACAAAGGATTTACTAAGCTAACACGAAGATTCACACAATGGTTCACTAATAACTACGGCGGAGTCAACGAGCCCTCAGTGTCCGGGTGTCTCTGTCCAAAACCCGGTGATGTACCAGTTGGGAAACTTAAGGCAGTTATTTTATTTGATGTTGTCATGTTCTGTACATAGGGCTGTGTCTGATTAATTATTTCAGTGTTATAATCATTGACAATTACTCTGTCTTTTTTAAGGCAGTTATTTTATTTGATGTTGTCCATGTTCTGTACATAGGGCTGTGTCTGATTAATTATTTCAGTGTTATAATCATTGACAATTACTCTGTCCTATTTTTGTAATATGGGTAGTGTTGAATATTTCCATGCGTCGTCATTTCCCTCCTAATTTGATTTATTATTGCCGGATCGATAAAATCACGTGCCATTGAAACCACTGCAGCCGAAACCTGAAAAATAAGTAAATCAAATTTCCTCAAACAGAGGAAGAGTTATAAAGCAACATTATTGTGCGTTTAAGCGTATAATCAAGTGGTGCAGTCACTGTTGGGACATATCTGGCACTGGCTGCAATGAATTGAGAAAAGGAGTGGATTAAAATCTTGAAATTTAATTTTTCTTGCAAGGGTGTGTATTGTTGAATGAAATGACAATTTTTTGAGGCGATTTATCACTATATATTTTCGTGGGTCTGAAGAAATGCTAGATTTTGATCCTCCCAAATAGATGCATTTTCTCTCCGTTTCTCATGCTGCTTATAGTTGAATTGGCGCGCTCAAATTAATCCTGAGGACTGGCGAGCAGTAAATCTTGCATAGGGAACGCATATTGTCTGTAGTTGGGTATAGGCCTGCAGTTATAGAACAGTTATTCAGTTCCGACGCGCATCTAACATTTTCTCTGTGCAGGAGTTTGATTTTATACAGTGATTTTTTTTGCCCGATTTTGTTTGTTTGGCGCACAGATATCTTTTTTATTCATTTTACTTTGGAAAAAAAATTCACGAAAGCGCGCATTACCGTTTCAGTAAATTTTCGGTGCGCATATTGTCGTATTCGTAGTTTTACCAGTGTTTGTTTTTTGCAAATAGTCGGGCGCACAAAACCTTTATCCTCGAAAGTTGCGAAAGTTGCGAATATTTTACTTCTTATAGTTTTAATAGTGCTTCTCTTGTCGCGCATGCATTGCTGAATTTTTTGGTGCATATTTGATTGTCTTGAGACACTGCGAGCAAATAGCCAAATTAGAATTAACGCGGAAAGTGATGGATTAAGCTACTTCAAGAAAAAAAATGGAGGCCAACAGAAATTACTTGCAAATTTCGATGATAGGTGGGCACGAAGTGTATGATGACAGGGACGATTTGGGAGAGTTTCTGTGGTGGTTGGAACAACTCCCAGAGTTGGAGGCTAGGGACGCGCTCAAACTAGAGGAAAGATTAAAAAAAGAAGTAACCCGGCCTGACGTCTATATGAAATTGATGAATTTGCGACTAGGAAATGACACAGTTAGCCAATACGCAAGCAGATTGGAAGCTTTAGTCGCTGAGTACCGGGACGTGGTACCGGAGTTCGTGCAACCAGAAACACATGATGCTCGGATGATCGAAGTATTTGGGAATGGGCTGCCTAGGATATACCAACCCATAGTGATATCGAAAGTTGCAAGTAAGTACACAGAGTTGTTGCATATGGTGTGCGATTGCGAAGCATCATTAGAAAGATCACGTAAGACTGAGGGAGCGCTAGCTGCCGATCACGATCATTCTTTCCATGATGAACGTCTATATCATTACGATAGAGTGGGAGATGCGTTTAGGGCACAAGAGAGAAGAATCGCACCAGCGGCTAGGCAAATGAGGAACGAAACGCACCATGCCTCCAACCAAGGACGGCTTCGTGACCCTCCCACTTGTTTTAGGTGCGGCAAGACTGGACATGTGCGACGTTATTGTCGGGAGAGAAATCAAACAAATCGGGGAGGTTACAGCAGCTGCTCCGGTTATAGTTACCAGAACGAAAATTGGCGCGCAGATAATACTGGCAATCGCGGGCGCGGCTACGGGCAGCCAAGTCAACAAAAAGGCGGATGGCGCACATCAGATTCGCGTGGGGGCCATCACCAGTCAAGAGGCAGAAGCTTCTCAAAAAGGTAGAAGCGAGCCCTGTTGAAGCATCGCTAACGCGATACCATTAGTTAGGATGGAAATTTTTGAGGAGACCAGACTTGCTTTCCTAGACAAGGAGTCAATTAAGGAGACCGCACCGTAAGAGTTAGCAACAACAGGGCGTTATCGAGTAAAGAATTGCATTGATCATGTCGAGCATTGAACATAGTCACAGGCAAGGGATTAATGAAGCTATTACTAAACCTCTATTTTAGTCAATCTCTTTGTTTTGTGAAGATGGGGTGTTCTAGGGAAGAATAATAAGCAGGGCAGTAAGACTCCGGAAACCAGGGGACAGCCATAAGATTACTTTGGGGACCGAGTCGATCGGCGTAGCTCAGCCATATGTGGCCATAAATTCCAGCACCATGTACAACTGGGTTATGTCACCATGTACGGGGCACATATATATGTACGGAGCTCGAATATAACTGGGTCATGGCACCATGTTATTCGAGCACCATGTATGTGGTTATAAATTTGAGCGCCAAAAATGTGCGCTATTAGGACTTTAAACGGGGACATAAATTAATTAATTAATTTCGCCTATAAATTGAGAAGATAGGTAATTTTTCCTATTTTCCTATCTTCGCTGGGAAGATATGAAATTTTTATTCTAGGATAAGCATGTGTCGAAATTAATATAAAATTGAATTATCTATGCGAGGTCGAGAGAAGTTATGCGAGAAAACCTTTACATCGATAGGGTGCAGAAATTTCCATATCGCGCGCGGCCATAATGTATTCCGGAATTTTTTCTCTTCAAGGTAAAATTTAGAAGGGAGATTAAGCTTGTACAGCGAATAGAAGAATAGATATCATTCTCGAAAAAAAATTTAATTAGTAAACCAACGAATTGACGCCTGGGAAATAACGACAAATATCTGGGGCTACAAAAATAGACAGTGTTCAGAGAGTTAGAGCGTAGAATTTTATGAAGGAATTTCGATCGTGACGGTTGGAGTTTACGGGTAACGTTTCTGTCGACGTGGAAGAACACTTGTTCTTTGTTTGAAAAATAAAGTTGGGTTTAAATTATCAAATGGCGGTTTCTAGCAGAAGGGTCAGAAAGGGGTCTACCGCAGTCGTTAAACTTAATGACTATTCCTCTTGAGTCCGACTAGCAAGCAATGCTGAAGAAAAATAGTGGAACAAGTTTTATAGGAAATCTGAAACTCTGGCACTAAGAGCGCGCTTGTCAAACCGCGAGCACTTGAGAGGCGGTTGTTTCCGACCGATAGCAGATGGCCCAAGATTCTTTTAAGCCTTGAGGCATGAAAGAATTTTTACTGTATTTTGCTAGAGTCATGAAAGATACCTTATTGAGGAAAGTAGCACGAGTTGAGATGAAGTGTTACTCAAACGAAGTGTTACTCAAGCTACAATTTTTTTTTTAAACAAATAGTCGCTAGTTAGAAAAAAATTCAAGTGCTTGGCTCTAGAAACTGTAAATACGTTCATAGAAGTAAAAGTACGGTTCTACAATAGGTTATGCAACCAGCTTTAGTAGTAGGAAATTATACTTGAGTTCATTCAGGTTTCGAGACAAGATTAGAAATGTTTTACGGGAATAACTTTGATAGAAATAGGATAAAAGTTTGGTTCAAAGTAGTATAAGAAGGGCTTAGATTAAGAATTGTCCGTTTTTCGTATAGCTAATGAAGTAGTTTGCTATTTCGAAATAGATTTCCTTTAGTAACAGTTTTGGACGGTTTATAACGGGGGCACTGGGCACAGGATACAACAGAAGAGTAATTGTTATGGGAATGCTTGTCTGGAAGCGAGACGGAAGTCAACTGTAAAAGAAGACTGGGTTAGGAGGGACGGAGTCGCAAAAGGAAGACAGAGCAAATAGTGAGAGGAAGTTAGTAACCGAATATTGGGAGCGTACTGAAAACTCGGAGTCATGCATTATGCACATGCGAATAGCTCGAGCACGACAAAAAATACCGAGTTAAATTGATGTAAGGGCGATAGACACGGATAAAATTTTTATGCTGAATTTAAGAATAAGGATAAATTAATATTAGATAGCGGAGCAGGGGTGTTAGAAGTTTTGTAAAGGTTTGTTATTATGCGAGCAGCAATTAAAAGTTACGTAAACGACGAACTAAGACCGCGTATCGAAGCTTCAATGCTAGGAAACTAAT